CTAGGATCAATAGTTGAAATGGTCTCGATCGAGTGAAACCTTTGGATCTTAGCGAAGACCATACTATTTCGAACATTGCAAACTGGCGTTATAGAATCACAAAAAGCTATACCAGATAATAGAAAACATATCACTTGAAGACTTTCTACTCGAAAAGAAAATAATGACATAATCAAGATGCAGACGTTCAAAATTACTTCAAATCAAAGTTTAGGAGTGACCACTCCTCCCATAAATACGAGAAAGAGCAACTGGAATTGAGAAACTTTTTTCCTGAAAAACTTTGAAGAGCATCGGGAATGAATGGTAGATCTGGAAGAATATATATTCACAAGGAATCAATTCTTTTATGAATTTTGATCGATATTATAGACAAAATTTCATGTTTAGACATGTGTCCGACTTGCATGTGAAATTTGAATAAGCTTATTTATATGCGTACTCGCTCTCACACACAAATACAATAAAAGAGAATTAAAATATGCTAGTAAAAATACATCATCTCCATAATGAAGTGGTTATCTTGCTATCAAAAGACAGTTACGTAGCCAATGGTGTCTACCTAAAGAGACTAACTAATTCATGTTTTTCTTGAACGAAGACGGGGCTACCGTTTGATTTATATTGCAATTATGTTGAGTGGGCTTAAGTTACAGCGTTTGGTGAGGACCACACAATACTTAAAGATTGACAGCTTCTGATCTATGTTGTCTACCAATTTTGTTCATAAGGCTTAGCCTAACTCGTATAGTGTTCAAATACTTTCAAACGGGTTCTCGATATTATCAAGAAATCTCTTCCTTCGAAAACGGATCTTCTCATCGGAACACTAATTTTTTAACCACTCATACATGCATCCATATTAATACTTTTGGTCATATATTCAACATATTCAAGCAAAATGTATTTTCCACTGCTGTATCGAAGAATTAAAATTTTCATAGTATTTTTTTCAAATGTTAAACTGATTTTCAAGGGAAAGAGATGTTTGGAATATATGTGGTATTTTGTTCAAATGAACAATAACGAATGATAGAATTTGTGAATGCAGCTAATAAAGTCACAGAATTTGTAAATAGAGCTAACAAAGTCATATATATATATATATATATGTGTGTGTGTGTGTGTGTGCGTATACACTACAGTACAACGATTTGAAGAAAACCCTCGTAATTTTTTAAATTGGCCTTTAAAATTACGTCCTGTAGATGGCGTCCTCCTGTACGAATGCATTCTTGAAATCTGCTGTTGAGATTTCTCATTGACTGCTGCAACATCTCAGCTGGAATACTGTGAATTTCATATTGAAATCTAAATGGCAAAATGTTTACTTGCTTAAGGTCACTGTCTCACAGTGTTACCCCTGGCTCATGTCTGGCAATACGCACTTCAAAAATTCCCGTTTCTTGGGGTCACCCTGTATAATAGTAGCTTATATCTATGGAAAACTAGAGTGCCGTGCAACATTCAGTTGTTTATATTCCGCATTTTACTCTACCTCGCGTATTTTATCATTCATTCATTTTCGTCGCAAGCCATTTTATTTATCACACGACCTACTGAAGTGTCATTAACAACAGTTTAAAGAACCCCGTTTTGGATCATTTCACATTAATACACCAGGGCACCATCGTTGGGCGTACATTGTTTTAATTTGCATCAACGACCTTCCAGATCTTATCACTTCCCAACTAAGTATTTATGTTCATTACACAGTTGAAATAGTGTAGAAAATCCCAGTTCAATAAAGAAAAGTCGTTGTAAAAAGTAGTAGTAATAAAATAACAGTTTTACTCAGCAGTGGAGATACCCATTTGTTCTTAGCCAAAAACAAGATACGTAAACTTAATGGCAGCAGAATATACATACATACACACACACACACACACACACACATATATATATATATATATATATATATATATATATATATATATATATATATATATATATATAAAATACAGGCTTACATAGGTGAAAACTAGTGTGCTGTGCAAAATTTAGAGTTGTTTATATTATCGCGACCCATTTTATTTATCACATGACCCACTGAAGTGTCGTGACCCAGAGATGAAAAACCCCTTTCTTGATCTTTTCACAGTAAAGCGGGGATACAGCAGGATACTATACTTGGACGTACGTTGTTTTTGAATTTGTCTTAACAACCTTCCCGTTGTCATCAGTTGCCAACAATGTACTTATGCTGATTACACAAGTATTTATTCCTGTTTAAATGTCCGATAAGTCCTTCAAAGTAAAATTGGTAAACGATAAATATTGCATGGCGTAAATTTTAATACAATTATATCAGTTTTTATAATGTTATAAATATAAACTTATTCTTATAAATAGAAAATCTAATAAATAAACAGAGTTTATTGTTTGTGTTGTTAATTCTCAAGACAAATGTCTAAATTCACTTTTATATGCTTTGGTTTCATTCCAATTTTAATCACCGCTTTTTAAAAGTACAAATATTTCCGAGGGGTAAAGGTGGTTGAAATAAGTTCGTAATCAAAAGAGAAAGCGTCCTTTTTTTACGTACCGCTTTATTTCGGGCACGAACGTACATGTTTGCCGAAAAAAAACAGTATTTTATTTACTGGTATCATAATTAGAAGGAATGAAACAGTGGTAATGCAGAATGTAACACTGGGATCATTGTTAGAAAGAATAAGTGTTAGTGCAGATTTTATCAACGGGATCATTGTAAGAATGATTAAAAAAGTGTTAGTGTAGCAAGAATAAAACTCTTTTAGTGCAGAATATATCACTGAAATCATTGATAGAATAATAATATGGAATGGCAATACATAGATGTGTATTTTTATGCAAAATTAATTATATATACAACAGAAAAGAAATGTACATTTTAAACGAAAGAATTTCTACTAATGAAAAGCAAATCATTTTTTAAATAAATGAAAAAAGTGGGAGTAATTCAATTAGTTATTCAACATATAAATTCAAATGAGATAGGAGATTACTTTAGTTTTTAAATTTTGTTCTTAATCGTTTAAGACTAGAAAAATGTGTAATGTTAAATCACAGCTGGAAATAACAAAGTTCATTAAATATTTTTGGTTGATATTTTTCAAGAAACGTTCCATTTGACGTATTTCAATTAAATATACAATGTTGGATCTGTCTGTATACGAAATTTCTTTATATTTTTATTGTTGTTATTATCTACTTCAAACTATAAATAAAATATTGAAAGTACTTGCAGATATCTAAAAAAATTCATTAAATATATCCTGCATATCGCTTCCAAAACATTGTCACACGATTTGTAACTGAATTTGTCTATCTTAGCCGCAAACATTCAACTTCGAATGAAGGTTCAGTTCCAGTTCTAATAGGCCTTGGCTTGGAAGCGTTGGAAAAGAGGAAATACCCCCAAACATAGTTTCATATTCCCTGTAAAATCAAATCTAAGATCTACATGTATCATTTTCTCCTCTGTTACAAAACAATGACATAAAAGAAGGAATTAGGAAATGTAAAACAGACATCTTGCATTATTAAACTATCTAGAATTGATAAAGACACTCGTAGAATAAAGCACAAGCGAACCTGATGCATGTCAAGAACAATGAGGAAGTAATCAAAAAGATAGTGTCGAAAGACTACGTTGAATCGGACAAAGAATTTCAAAATCAAGAAGTTACGAGGAAGTAGCAGTATTATATTACGTGTAGCTATTATTATCTGCATTTGAATATTTAAATTCAATATAAGCAATTTTCATCTGTACTCTGTTTTTGTAACAACGAATATCAGAATAGGAAAGAAAGAAATAAAGCAATTGGTTAGAATAAATACAACTTCATTAATAAGAGTTATTTTTTAAAAGAATAAATTGGCTACAAGTTTAGACACGTGGCGAAGGGAAAATCTTGAATATATCATAGATATATACATATATATTCCAAATGCAATTTTAAGTAATTATTTTTCTTCATCAGTTATTCTTATGTGGTATTTTCGGCGAATTTCCTTTTCCGTTGCATGTTGATGATTCTGATTGAAATGATGCAGGCCATAAATAAGCAAACGATGATAAAATAAAAGATGGCGTCAAATGACTGAGTTGCATCGAACAAAGCACCTGAAAGAAAAAAGAGGTAATGAAAAAAAATATCCTTAATTATACATGCCTAATAATATTTCAAAGCATTTTTATTTCCAGTCAATTTTAATCCAGATTCTACGTGGTAGCAAGAAACGTTCTTTAACATTATTCAATAAAAATAAAAGATTCTTTTTATTTTCAACCTTAACATTTTCACGAATATTTTTACGGTTCTGTTCCATTATTCCTGGTATCTTTCAGGCTAATTCAAACTCTGTCCCCCTCAGAAATATTTATAATTCGTCACTAAAAACATCTTTCGAAGTTTCCAAAGAGTTTAAATTTTTATTTGAATAATTCCATAATAAAGGCTGAATAAATGGTAATTGTTCGGATGAGCTTTCCTCTTTGCTACATCCAGTTTATGATTTTAAGCACAGTACTAGATTGGCAAATGATCTCATTTTGCTGTTAGAATAATTAGATCTTCTCTCACAATTCTCGCTTACTGAAGTCACTCTCGGCATCTGACTTTCCAGTCATCTTTCCAGTCATGATTTTCAAACATTTAAATGCAGTGTCAATCGGTATATTCAATCTTATTTAAAGTCAATTTCATTCCTGATTGTACATTAGGTTTTTGATCGATTATTTCTCCCATAACATATTCTTGTTACTAAACACTACTTTTTATGTACGTTTATAAATTTCAGGCGCTAAAATTTAAGAAAATGGAAGTATGTAAAAATGTGTTAATCACATTATAAATGAAAACATTTCAGATGTTTTGTAAGATTATTTCAGAATTCGCGTGTTCAAAGCTTCAGTTATGATAGATACATTAAAGGGGTGACTTCAATTACCTGTGATGAATGTATCGAGTATGAAAGTCAGACCAATCATAAAGCATAAAGGAGAATATCCTTTATCGAAGTTCTCCACTCCAAGAATAGAAGCCACAAGCACGATTCAAAGAGTAAAAATAAATCCTACAAAAAAACAAAACAAAAAAAAAACATTATTTCTGTCTGAATTTTAAGGTGTGAATCATGATGTGCCGTTATTATCATTGTGGATGTTAACCATGTCGGCTGTTTTACTCATTTTCCTTCTTCAGATGACTCTCATAATCGTTAAATGTCTGCACTTTTGAGTGAACCATTTAAGAAGTGATAGAATTAAGATTTCTAAAATAAGACAATTTGAATGACTACTGTGTTCCGTTAAGAAATGTCATTCTGTTAGGACATGCGTATTGCATCCCGGTGAAAGACTTTGAAAGATCAAATCTGCTCCCGTTTATTACTAATATCTCTTTCCGACCTCCGAATTGTGTTATTTGAATCTTATTCTGCAGTACTTACTCTTGTCACATTTCATCAGGATAGCGATAGACATTAGTGAAAACAAGGCAACTGAAGTTTGATGCTTCAGGAACGCAAAGGCACCAGATGTGATGCATTTGAGAAGAAACATATATACCCCACCCCACGTAAGCATTTCCAACATGCACAAATTTAAAAGACACACTAAAAGGCCGACCGTAGTATAGCAATAAGAAAAACTTTAAATAAAAAAAAAACTGGATTTACAAGAGCAATACAATAAGCAGCCATTTTTTTTCAGACAAATATGAATACTCACCGTGGAAAATGGCGAAAAGGGATGTGCAAAGGACGAACAGATTGAATGAGTGACAGAATGTAAAGGCAAATGATGTGGTGGACATGCCAAGCAAGGCAAATATCAGAAGATAACTTTTAGGGATGTGAATCAGATCAGCGAGAATGCCAATCCCAATTTGGCTAACCGCAAAAAAAGCACCGAAAATTGAGATTAGCAAGGAACCTTGTTCGCGGTTGAGTCCAGCATTCACAGCTTTTGCCGGAAGATAGATCAAAACACTTACAGATACTAAGAAAAAAGAAAATAAGAGATCGTTATTTTTACATATATTATATTCCATATACGATTTGGTTATTAGGGAGAATAAACTGTCTGGCATACAACTGAAGCTCAAAGAAAAGTTTATATCTTATAAATTTATAATCAAATTTGAGACATATATTTCTGCTTTATATAACTGACATCAAACAAGGCCAGCGTAATTCCTGACAGTTTCTTAAAAATAGGCTTATTTGCGTTAAAGTTCTCTTGATAAAGTAATATAAAATATGGAAAGAATTAATGTATTCATATTAGCATTCTGTAACTGATAATACGTAAAATGAATAAATACAAAGAAAATGTATTCTTTCCGTACAATGTAACCACCAACAAAAGAAACAAAAGAGAAAGTATTAACTTTCACCTAAGGAATGTGGCACTGTTGTAAAAATGTGATATGAATTCTATCTCAAGACAGAAACAGAAAGAATGAGCAAAAAAAAACATGTAGAACGTGTAGATTTGAATGTGCCTTTAATTGATTTGTGTAGGGATTTATGAAATCATCAATGTTATGGTTGTTGAGAAGCCATCAGTTAAATGAATAAATATTGACAAGTTAGAGGGTCTACATTTACATTGGTTGAATAATATAATGCCAATATAATTTAACACAATAAAATTTTCTTACCACTAACAATGTTATTAAGAAATAGATGCAAGATTTAGTGTGTCAAATCTTCTATTGACTATATAATCATCAAAATTCAAGATAATTAACTGAATGCATCTTCCTATCATTTAGCAAATATGCTATGAGATGTTCTTCTCATCAACAAAGATATTAAGACATAGAAGCATCATATAGTGTGTCATCCCTTGCATTGACTGTATAATAAAGACACCAATATAGAGGGTATTTAAATAAATATAATTTTATCATTAGCAAATATATTAAGTATATCGAGTACAATAGAGCAACAGATTATCTTGTAAATTCTTTGTTACGCTAATCAAATATGTATACTAGAACAATAAGAACTATTTGCAGAATAATGCATTCAAACTGAGTATTGGCTTAAAATTACTTAAAACTTTTCTTTTGAACTTGATACACGAGGCACTGATTCAGATTTCAGATAAGTAATCTTTTTTTATGCTTGTTATATTAATACAAATTAATGTTGCAAAATATTAGATAATATATTCAATTATTAATATGTTTTCACTTACCCGCCCAAAAATGATAAATGGCGAGAAGCAATAGCATGCCAGGATTCTTCATAATATCTGGATCAAATACGGTTTTTCGGAGGTAAGTGCATATCCTTGAAAAATTGCTCGTCATATTTGCTGGAGAACTGTTTTCAGAATGTCCAGGACGTTCAAAATTGTTTGTCTGAAAAGCAATTCACTTTATATTCTGATAAATATTATTGATGAATACTATACTCAATACTTTCATGTGTATAATTACCAATAACCTATCTTTAAACTTCCATGATATAACAATACAGAAAAAACACATCGGCAATATAAGAAAATATGGATCCTTCTGTGTGCAATATATTGTTTTTGAATTTTTTTTTTATTTTTGTTTTACATATACATTTTTTTTTATATATCATATCAAATTTTAATTTCATTATGTCCCGAAAGTTCATAATATATATATATGTTGGGGGATGTATATAAAAATATATTTAGATACTGGGGGATGTATAGTATTCATACATATCTCAGGGAACAGTCATATTAACGGCCCGACACTTTACATTCGAGAAAAGTATATATTTAATTTACGAAGAATATACTTAGAGACATGTCTATCCCTGACAATGGCTTAATTTTTGTTTTTTTTTAAAAAGAAATATTTTAACATATATTTTAGAACTATCTTAAAGGGACTTCTGGTATGATTAAAACATTTTTATATATTTTTGAAGCAAACTACAATTCTTATTTTATTCATTATGTCTTTTTAATACATAGCAATTTCAAATTAAAAATCCAGGAATTAAATTAATATTACATGTACCATAATATATAATAGAATAATAGGTATATAAAATTTTGCAAAAATTCTTCTACTATATTTTAAGGTGAACATTTTACAATGTCTACATATACCTGTAAGCTCATTTCGCTGATTAATAGATCAGTATTTTTAATAAACTTTATTATGTATAGCTTTTCATGTAGACACAAGGGGTATGGGTCATTTAAGGACTTACATATTCGCGTTTTTTTTTAATATTTTCCATTTTACTGTGGGGATTTTTTTTATTTCTTTAAATACCAAAAATAATTAAATAGGGATATTCGGTTTCGGTTCAAATTCTTGTTAAAGGAAGAAATATGGTGGTACCATCTTAATTTAAAATAGTTTTTGCGCTACCAATATAAAATTTTTAATACATGTGGTTTCAGGCGATGAAACAGTGCATTGATAAACAGATTCAGTAAGGCATTTATTTTCTAATAAATATAAAACATGTACCCTCATCCATAGAATATAGAATTAGTCAAAATTCTGCAAATGAAGTATTTAATAAACACTGCAATTTTTATAATATTGTTTTAACGAATAGTGGATATAAATGGCCCGATATTAAATATGTAAAAGATAATATCTCAACCGGAAAAAAAATAGAAATAAAAAAAATCATTTGGTACACACCCACTTTTAACCAAAGGGTTAGCTGTAAGTTAGGGCAAAAGTTTCTTTGCTTTGACTGAGAAACGTTTTCCGAGTAATCATCCACTAAGCAAGATTTTCAATAAAAATACGCTAAAATTAAGTTATAGTTGTACTGATAATCTAGAAAAATATTTAAAAAAACATAATAAAATTTTAAATGAACATTTAAAACTAAATAAAAATGAGAGTAATTCCAAAACGGAAATCAATAATTTCGATAATGAAGTATGTAATTGTAAAATCCCTGTAACGTTTCCATTGGAAAATAAATGCCGTGCTGCATTAAAATACCTCATATGTTGATATACCGCTAAACAAACTTGGATATAGCCAGAAATATTTCATTTTAAATTAACTTTACCCTACGAAAAATATGCGTTTACTTGAATAGAACAAAATCTAAAAATATTTAATTTTAACACTACTCCATAAGTAACGCATGAATTATTTGAATACCACGATATCCAGAAATATTTCATGTTACTTAATTCTACTTCACCACATCTATTAAGTGATATTGATTCTGTTTCACTTATTTGAGTACAAATTCTTAATCTAGTGAGGAATATTCTAAGGCCGTAATGGTCTGTGAGATGATGTTTCTAGACCTTTCTCCTCAACAGTACGTCTATATATATTTTTGAGGATTTCTTCGACTTTTGGTGGCATATCGTCCCTTTGTGTGTTTTTAAAATCCGGAACATTTATTGAATTGTTAGAATAATTCTTTTTTTTTCTTTCTGAAAGAAATTACTTAAATAAATTACTTAAATAAACAATAAATTACTTAAATTTTAATTCATCTTTTTTAGGTCTTATCAACCCTTTGCGTTTCAATTAATTCCGGAACATATCATAGATTGTAGGCATATTTTTTTGTATGTGAACGAATATTGCCTAAAATTTTGTATTTTTAAATAGCAATGATGTTTCCCGAAAACAACTCCTGGGGTGGGGGGATCTATTTATACCTTCACCAGGATTATTTGGACGAATGATATTCGAACTCGGCTCTGCGTCCGTGCCGCTATCTATTACACCTGCTGCACATCCACATAAGCTGTTTAGTAAATTAAGTTTCAATCAATATTTGCCTGAGATTTTGAGGTAAACAATAGGACAGAGAAAATTTTTGACATTTACGTTAATATCTTTTGAATTTTCAATCCTATTTTCGTCTGGCTCGAATCTGAAATTCCTTTCCGCATGAATCCTTTCCACAGATACCAGTTCTGTTTCTGAAATATATTTCATTTACTTTATAGAGAAAAATATGTATTAATGTAGTGATATGTACCTAATTAGCGTAGCTAAATCATAGTGACTATATAAGTGCCAAAGTCAGAAGGAGAGTATTGTATTTTGTATGCCATAATATTATCTGAAGCCCCAGGTAGCCATACCCCAGGCAGTACCTCTCCTTCGAGAGAGACCTGGGTTTATTGCCCCGTACCTGTGGTGTTCTAAAAATGGGGAAGTGTAGAGGAAGCTTATGAATTTCTCTACCGCACTACCGATGTAACCATATTACACTTGATTTCGTGTGACATTACATTCACGTCATTGGTGTGCGTTTAAATACCGAAGATAATACACGAGATTAACGCCGAAATGAGAAAATACGAATGACACCATAGTTCATCTGTATAATACTAAATCTCTAATCTATGTATGTATGTATGTATGTATGTATGTATGTATGTATGTATCTATTAAGGTGGACAAGCAACATTGGTCTTCATCCATTCCCTAAATCTCCACAAGCCATACCCTGTAAACCGTTTCAGCAAGCAGACTAAATCATTACTAGGCGGATGATCAGTACAGCGGACATATATATATATATATATATATATATATATATATATATATATATATGTGTGTGTGTGTGTGTGTGTGTGTGTGTGTGTGTGTGTGTGTATCTATGGTGAGGAGGGAGGCTAGAATCCCTGCAGGACAGAAAAAAAACTGTCAACGACCATCTAACTATCTCTGTGCGAGGCCATAGAAATATTTTGGCAAGTATTCAGACGCACGGTTAGTCCACTGGGGGTGGGACCTCCCAGGAATTCTTATGGCCACACTAGATATCTTGCAACTGCTTGTCTCTGGCCAATGTGGCTCTGTGGTGAGGGTCGATGCCATGCTGTACAAGCTGTACCCGACCTTAAAGGCCGCACAGGCATTAATGACAAATTGCCAGGTTATAGATTTTAAAACCCGCTTATAGATTTTTCCATTCCCAGTCTGATGGCGATGCAGAGACACGTCAATTAAAGTGTGAAGGGTGGCTTTCGGTTTTTCCTGGGGTGTCTGAGTAGCCCTTTTCAGAGCACTGCTCACCAAAAAAGACTGCTACGAAAAAGAGTAAAAATGTTATTGCCTTTTTAACGTTTTTACATTTTGGAATGCTCAGTCAAATTTAACAGGTTACTCGAAGTGACACAGTTCAATGGCTAATAAACGAAAGTGAGTAAGTAGTGTTTTTGAAAGCCAATAACATTTTTCTCTTGCATATAAATACTTGTTACAAAATAAAATCCTCACACTTGCCTTGATAAAGTCTGTCAGAGGACGAATCGCATCGACTAAGATAAGTTTCCCTTTTCTCTTTATTCGCAATGTCCTCTTACAGATATAATCTACCTCATATTTTTACACTAATAATAATCTTTAAATTTATTTACAGATTTAACAAAAAATATTTATGATTTTGCTTTGTACTTCTAAAATTAATGTTATCTAAAGATGTGAATCTATGAGTAAAACAATGTTAAAGATATAGGATAAGGTCAATATGTGGGATACATTTTCCAATGAATTATATAGTAAGTGACTCAAAGTTCATGCATAAAACTCAAAGGTAAAAGTTCTCAAATCTTACTGCTGCTATTACTAATATACACTTGATACCAGTACTAATATTACGCTTAATACTATTACTGATATTACACTTGCTATATTCTCCTTCATCAATCACATTTTCGTTCTTCAAGGAAAACAAGATAATGAAGCAGAGAAGGAGAAACATTAAGCGAAAATGAATTAGAACTAAAATATATAATATAAAAACTATATGTAACAGAAATAGATTTAATAAGAACATTTATGTACGTTATATTTTTCTTTCATCATTCTCAATTCTCTCCACTAAAAACAAAATCTGAGTAGATAAATCGCGTAGAATCTTCTGTCTTTACACAGGAACACAAAAGAAACGATTAATTCTTATGTAATAAGATTTGCTGAGTTCAAAGTAAAGTCGATTTAATTCACTGAAAATTGTATTATTGTAACTATACTTACGTTTTATTTTCTTCTTCTTCTTCTTCTTCTTCTTCTTCTTCTTCTTCGTGTTGATGGTTTTAAACAGCCGACATAAGGCGCCATAGACAAGAAAGTTGAGAAACAATCCGCTTATTAATAAAAATGTTCCCCTCATACCATAAAAGGAAATGCTTCGTTCTAATATATAACCAAGGAGACATGTGCCAACTCCAGACCCACTTTGAGCGATTCCTACAGCCAAAGTTAGTTTCTTTTTAAAATAATATCCAATGATAATATTGCAGGAAAAATATGATATACCAACGAAAACACCTGAAAAAAAAAATAAAAAGATTGAGAAACGTCAAGAAAATGAAAGAAATTATTTTGAAATCGGGCGAAACAATGAATTGGGTTTGTGCTTATAAAAGGGACCATAAAAGTCCTACATTGCCCTGTTAAGAAATAAGTAGAGAAATTGAATTAAGGAATATAGAGGAGTTGATTATATTTGAAATGCCAGGGGAAAATCGTCGCATAAGCCAACGTCTCTATTTGGTTTACAAGAGGAACAGAACGGAATCGTGGACATTCGTGTTCAAACAAAAGCCAGAACATTGAATGATCCATATTATATCGCAATGAAGCTGTTCATATCTATCTATCTATCTATCTATCTATCTATCTATCTATCTATCTATCTATCTCAAAGGAGATATGACTGAGTGGACAAATATGATCAAATAGAAGCAATGCGAACGTATGACACGTGAACATACAAAAAAAACAATGAATCTATTGAAATCTATCTAAGAAATAAAAAGTACAATAAAAAACATTTATGGCATTTTCAAATTCAATGCAGAGCAGAAGATTCGATCACAGCACTGTGTCGAAAAAGAAGGACATTCCTCAAATATTGGAAGTCACACTTACATCCAAACACAGATTATATTAAAAGAACATGACGAACTGTCAAATATCAGGATGTGGTTAGTCAACTGTATGAATGTGGAATCCGAAAGTGACATTTGTTGATAACATTATTGGAGAGATTGGAAAGAGTGGAAAGGAACTGGAAATCCAAGGAAACAAAATAAATCGATCGAAATAAGAATTAGAATACTGAACAGAATGGTGGAATATTAAGAATACGTACTCCCACTTAACCTTCAATAAAATTTAACTACTGATGATGGTTTGAAAATCCAACGTGCATTGACTGGAGATTTGTTAAAGTTGACAAGGCACAGGCAAAATAATTAATATATGTAGACAATTATCAAATTCTTGCATCAAATGGAAATAGAAATATCTAGACAATAGATAATCTAGATATCTTTTTTTTTGTTTGTTAAAAACTTCAGAAATACTGTGAGAATCGGTGGACTACGAAGCGGATCATTGCAGGAATGAAATGACTTGTTCCCCTTTTATCAACAGCGGCCAGTAACAGTTGGCGCGAAATTGCCTTAACAAGTATAAATAAAGTGAAAGAAAGAGACAGATATAAATGTAGATGAATATTAGCTCCTTCTTACCTGAGAGAATTCCATACGTAAGATAAAGAACTTCGACCTTCTCAACGAAAAAGCTTGCCATTGTTGAAATAGTCGAAACAAGTCCTCCAAAGATGAGAACTTGGCGATGGCTTGCATTAAACACCCTTAGAAGCAGCACAAATGGACCTGGCAAATTGAAAACATGAATATAGGATCAACACATTTTTCCTTTCAAATTTATTCATTTCCGTTTTACCAATTTAAAAACTTACCAACACAATATATTACTCCCAGGAACATAGAACCGACTATGGCTGTTTTTAATACAGTGTCACCATAAAGGTCCAGCAGTGCGAGGAGGAGACTTCCACTCGTGAAAATCATTCCCGAAGTAGTAAAATTTACCATAAATCCGGCGAAGCAAACGACCCAACCCCAACCCCCATCAGGAATCTGTAGGGCGTTATCCACATCAAGTGATTCCATTTCCGATGTGGGGGTTTCCGGTGAATTTGTCTCTATCTCTTCCATCCTGAAAAAATATATTTAAATTTTTATAATTTCAAATTGACAAATATTATTACACCGATTAAATGATTGAAAAATTTCTCAAGACTTTAAAAGAATAGATTCTGTCATTCTGTAAATTTTTCTTTCTCTCTCTCTCTCTCTCACGCACACATTATATTTCTAACACACCTATAATAAAAGGTGTAACAGTATATTGTATTTGCAATAAGTATTTAAAGAAACAAACTTTTGAATTGATTTTTAAAGACAACAAACACGAGAAAAAACAAATTTGATTTTCAATTGACATGTCGCTATGGTTTCCGATTTTGAATTAAAGATTTCTGAGAATGCTATCTTTTTTTAAAAAAAATGTTTTCCTTCTATTCAAAATATTTAAATCCGTAATATTTTATTTAGCTTCGATTCAAAATAAAAAAAATTCTTTTTAAACTTCACCTCCTAAGAATAGTTCATGACCTCCTAGATATTTTCATTAAAGAACAGAGTCGTAGCAAATAGAATGTACTGTCCATGATTATTTGTGTTTTGGTTTATTTCCATTGACATTTTAACAAAGATCTTACAGGATTTCTACACGTGTTCAAAAATCGTGT